AGAATAAATTAGTCGATGGTCAGTCATATTGAGCATACCCATAGTGCCACTGTTAAGAACATCTATATTATCATTTACACAAATAATATCTATTAAAGTTGAACTATTTCTACTTACCCTTGTCGGGTCAGTAATAATTTGTTTCAAACTGAATACTTGCAACAGGGATTGCAAGTATTTGTACTCCACTGAGTTAGACAAGAAATTGATATTCAAATCTCCCATTAAGATAACATGATTATAAGTTGCATATAAACTAGATAATACATTTTCTACACTAGATAAAGATTGATAGAAGACTAATGGCGGTTTATATAAAGTACCTATTAGCAATGTTTTGTTTCTATACTTCACTTCTACCCACAATTGTTCCAGTGAGTCACTTATAAGTACCTCTGATATGCTAACTGCCAAACTTTGCAAACAATCCGATACGTACAAGCAAATACCTCCTCCCCTACTAGCTCTGTCTGCTCTGAATAACTTATACCCGGGGATATTCACGAGGTTGTCAGGATATTCTTGTGTAAGCCAAGATTCAGTTATTCCAAAAATATGAAATTTTTGTTGTTGCAACAGGTCGCAGACATCAGGAAAGCATGGAACAAGGGACCTGATGTTAACATGACCAATATATAAATTATGGTCAGTACTACTATTAGTTTCTGGTACGTTCTTCAAGTCCTCAACATTTAGATGAAGCACTGATGATTGAGAATCAATATTTATTTTACATTTTGTTTGGTTGGAGGAATTTTGTGATGACAATTTATTTAGTTTTTGGGTAAAAAATCACCTGCAAAAGATTCCAAAAATGTTTTATGTTTCCTGAAATCGAATCTTCTTACCCCAACAAATTGTGGCCAAAATTCTGGGTCATACATTTGGTCCTTTTTTTGTAATGGGGCTGTGACCACAAAGCACTTTAGTTTGTTCTGCTCAGATGGTATTTCACGAACAGTGACTGGTAGATCGGTAAAGCCTGGTTGAGTTTTTATGTAAGTAATAATGTCGGTTTCAGTGCACTCTCTCTTAACTCTGTACAGATAGAGCCATACCTTGCGGTCCCCACCGACAAAATTCCCTTCTTGAGTAGGTTGAGCTTTTCCAAGCCGCTTTTTCTTAAACATTTTTCTCGGGAACACAAAACCATCCTGTTGTTTGTCTTCGTTATCGCTAAAAATAATAATAGGCGACTTCGATAATTCTTTATTTGTATTCGCGGACTGTTTGTTTTGCTTTTTTTGGGAACTCGATATGTCAGAACCAGCTGATTGTTGGTTGTTTGGATTAATATTGCCGCTTCGCTTGGCAGGAATGGAAATGCGCAGATTCTGGCGGCCCTGTGCAGCTTTAACTACTCTGGAGTAGGTGGGAGTAGTGGACACTTAGTTCAATTGATTATCTTCGGCGGTATCGGGTTGTTGATTAACAGCGTTGCCAAGTCCTTTTTGTGGCATTGGGATATTTTCGTTATTATGAAGGTCTTTTTTGTTTTGAAGGTCTGTTTTTTTTACTTTGTTTATCTCGTCGAAGAGAATTCTTTGGATTTTTTCCACCAATAGACCATTGTTTTCTTTCAGAACGATGTTATTTTCAACCAATATTCCATTTTTTTCTTCCAACTCTTTTATAATACGGTTTTTTAGGGTTACCTCATTTGTTAGATAGCTGATCTGTTGCTTGAAGTACGAAATTGCATCGGAACTTTGACCATTTTTTGTCGAATGATCTTCACATTCCAAACAAATACAGAAATTGGCTTCTAACCTTCTAATTTTGTTAGCTCTGTTTGCACAGCTAAAGTGAAATAACGCTGAACACACTTTGCATACTATGGTAGTAGCTCTTTTTCCACAACATTTAAACACTTCACCATTACTTGAATCGTTGTTTAACTCATTATTTTTTGGGTTTTCGTTAGCCGGATCAAGATCGTCACCTTCACTTTCCGCCATCTTGAAACTCAGATTATCCAAACCCCTGGCAAAAGGCAGGGCGCAAGGACCATTGACACTTAAGAAACCAGACGTTAGTTACACAAAAAATGAAGAGCAACGAGCTGTTTTACTACTGGAAAATCACTTTCCAGGAAGCACACCCAATGATACTGAAGAAAACAAAGGGCGGCCCAGGAAAACCAGGCAAGAAAACTGGGAGGTTGCTAAGAGCCTTTGCATTCCTCAGCGGCTTACTTGGGTGATCAACTCGTTCCAACGGTTCAAGTCGCCTGGAGTTTACGGCATCTTTCCAGCCCTGCTGCAGAAAGAGCAAAATGAAATCATGCCGTATCTAATCAAACTCATCAGATAGAGCTTAGCGACCGGATACTTACCCAGTAATGGAGAAGAGCTTAAGTAACTTTCATCCCAAAGGCAGGGAAAAGAGACGCCACTCTTCCGAAGTCGTTCAGACCTACATACCTCACGTCGTTTTTGCTTGAAGCAACTGAGAAATTTGTAAATAACTACATCAGAACAAGTGTTTTAGAAAAGACGCCTGGATTGCGAAACGCTAGCCACCAGAACTGCAGAAACTGACGTGGGTGAACAAACCATACAGGTCACCACCACTAGAGGATGTCCGCAGGGAGGGGAACTTTTACCTTTGATGTGGAGTCTAGTGGTTGACGACCTCCTAAATTTATTGACCGATCAGGGCTTTACCTGCTTTGGATACGCCGATGATATTGTCATCAAGACCAGAGGAAAATACCAAGAAATACTCTGCGACCTTATAGAAAAACTATTTCGAACCACGAAGGAATAGTGTCAGACAGTGGGGCTGAATCTAAACTACACTGGTAACATTTAGAAAAAGAACGAAACTCCCAAACCTGAGAAACATTCGCCTCGATGGAAGCAGACTTGATTGGAAAAAAAAAGTCAAATTCCTATAGGAATACCCATAGATTCTAAACTTCTCTGGAACCGACAGGTAGCGAACATAAAAAACAAAGCAATCTTGGCACTCATGGTTCGCAAAAACATTGCGGGTAAAACATGCGGTTGTAATCCATCAATTTTAAGATGGATGCAGACCATGATAGTGAGACCAATCATCACGTACGGAGCGGTAGCCTGGTATAGCCGAACCCAGTTAGTAACAGCTAGGAAAAGTGCAAAGACATGGATCTACCAGAAGACGTGATTGTTGATAAATTCAGTTTCGAGAAAAACTTTTCCATCGAACTAAGTAGGTACAAAAAACAGATGGAACATGAAATCTATCCAATCCCTTAAAGCAAACACCATCAAATGGTACACAGACGGTTCCAAAACTGCCGAGGGAACTAGAGCAAGAGTATTCGGGCCACGGGACCAAATACTCGGAGGCAATAGGTAAATCACCAAGCATATTTCAAACGGAACTTCATGCGATCGGAAGATGCGCGCAGTTCAACCTGAAAAGAAGTTATCGGAAACGAGAGATTGTAATAATGTCCGACAGCCAAGCAGCTATCAAGGTATTGAGATCCCCGGTCATCAATTCTAAGACAGTATGGGAATGTCTGCGGGCCTATAGGTGTCGAGGGCAACGAATGCGCAGACAGACTCGCAAGAACGGGAGCGTCTACTCCCTTCACTGGGCCAGAACCATTTTGTGGCGTCGGAAATGTGCACCTCCAAGAAATCCTCAAAAAAGAAGGAAACCGGCTAAGGAACAAACAATGGCTAGAACAGCCAGGACCACGACAGGCCAAAGATCTATTGGGCCACTTCAACCAAAAAAGATCAGAACTGCTGGTCAACTTTAGCAAGAAAAGTCTCAAGACTCTAACCGGCTTTCTCTCGGGACATTGCAGACTCAAGAAGCACCTACAGAAGTTGGGGTTAGAAGAAGGTGACACCTGTAGATTCTGTGAAGACCGAGAAGAGACACTTCACCATCTTCTACTGAACTGCGATGCTGTTAATCGCTCAAGGATGAAGAACCTGGGAAGTGCCCTTATACAGTTGGAAGACATTCCAGCCTTGAAACCGCTAGACATCCTAAAATTCCTAAGGGACCTAGGACTGGAGGGGCTGCTTTGAGCGGGAAACCCGAACTTAGCAGCAGAAGGAGGGGTAGAATAGATCAACCTTGGTCGCGGTGCAACTGACACCTCATACACATACACAGGAGAGACGATATAACCTATTTATTATTATGAATTATGAATTTCTCTCCTTTTTACCCTCTACCTCCCAAATTTTTTGATAATATTTGTATTGTCATCGGACCTACATTACTGTTCCAAATTTCATCAAAATTGGTTCACAGGAAGTGTGCCAAAAAAGAATCGTGAGATTTGACTCAAAAAAAAAAACAATGGGTCAAGCTAAATGAAACCGTTTAAAAAGTAAAATTTTATATATAGAAAGAAAATATGCGTGAATAAGAAAAATTACCAGAAGTTTTTTCGTTACATATTTTAGAATGAACAACGATTTTTTGTCTTTTCCAGGCTTCTTTGACGTACGAACCCATGGCGCATGGCATTCTATGACGTTCTATCACTTGCATCATTGGCAAAATACAATTTTTCGAGAAAATTGGTTCCCCATTTCCTGCGTTTACTACAATAATAAAATGGAGGTTAGAAGAACAAACATCTAAACAGCTGCCTTTCATTGCACACTACCCTCGAAAACATTTCGGTTTGGAACTCACTAATTCCCTTCAGTGCAACACAAGCAAGCAAATTAAACCAGGACACAAGATTGATGTGACAGCCATGATGCCATCATAAGTGTGAGCGCAAATAGCGTGGAGTCATTGTCTAATTAATTGGCACCTATTTCAGTTTGTTTTGTCTGTGTTGTTGTGGCCACAAGTGTTCTTGAATTTTTTTATTGTGTCCTGAATTTTGTTTTAGCAAGTTCAGGAAGTTACTTTCAACTACTCACATACTTCTTTCTTCCTTTTACGAGCTTTATTGTAAGTTTATTTAATTGTGACAATCTAAAACATTTTCCCGAAGCTAAATATTGTGGAGTAATAAACAACAATTGAATATTTTAATTATCCTCTTTGTATTTTGTTTATTTATATTTCTATTTTGGGTACCTTACAAGCCTACCATGTATATCATAGAATTTACACACAAAAAAATACAAACAAAAAATAGATAAGAACAAGAAGAGGCAATAGCTAAAAAAAAATCTAAAATCAAATAATAAATAACAACTGACAATGGAAAAAGAAATTTACACACCTGCCGACTCCAATAGTTAAACTTAAATTGCGTCTATAGTCTTGTAATCGGAAAACAAAAATAGAAACCAACTACTGGCATGAAGCTTCATTCATTAGGCAGGACATTGGACTGGACGCAATTTAAATTTAAAATGCTGGATTATATTACATTATTATTATTATCAGTATAAAAAAACAAAATAAAACAAAGGCTATTATGTATAAAGCAGTTTGAGATTTAAAAAATTGCTAAAACCAAACAATAAATAATAACTGACAATGGAAAGAAAAAAGTGAGACTTGACTTACAAACCTGCCAACTCCATTAGTTGAACTTAAATTGCGTCTATAGTTTTGTAATCGAAAAAAAATATATATATATAAACCGATATATGTCCAAAAGATACATAATAATAATATCAAAACTCATAGCCGAAGGTCTATCAGGTTGGACTACAAAGATTTCAACACATGAAAATATGGCCAATTTTGAACAAAAAAAGTTTATACAAGATGGGGTCAACACTCAACCATTTTTAAGAAAAAGGCCTTTAATTATTATGTGATCTAAAAAAAATAATCACATTTAATTATGTTGCACTGATCTTAATGGGTTCGTTTAGGATCGGCTAAAATGCCCTCCGTTGCCAAATTAATTGTTATAGTTTATAGAAGGTAATGTTTTGCGCACTTTATTACTTCGATTTCTACGATTACTTCCAGAGGCATGGTGTGGCCCAGTGAGGATACGCACATACACACTGTTTTTAGAGCAAATGTACCTGGGTTTGAGTCTCGTTGAAGGCAATTCATTTTTTTTTTTTCAAGTTTTGTTTTTTTCTTAGGATTTTTGTTTCTTTTAAAAATTATTAAGAGGGCTGGTTAGTTTGTATTAGCTCTGTTTTCATTTAAAATACCAATGAAGCTCCGTCTGTCTGTTCCCCAGACTCTTGTTATTATCACATTTTCATGTTAAAATATTTGTGCTGAAACCTGATACACCCTGTATACTCATTTGCGTAGACCAGAAAGCTCCATTAATTAGGCAGGACATTGGACTGGACGCAATTCAAATTTAAAATGTTGGATATTAGTTTAAAAATAAAAACAAAATAAAGAATATTATGTATAGAGCAGTTTGCGATTATAAAATATAATCTAATTCATATCTAACATATTGATTTTTGGGATCATTAGCTATTCTTGGGTACCCAGCTACCAAGGCGTCTTGACCACCTATATAAAGAGAATTGTAAATTTTCCAGTAGACATCTCTTACTTTCCTGGCTGGATGGAACAAGCCCTGAAAAAAAATATATAGAATGAGATTAAAATATATCACAAAAAATGTATGTTGTATTGTATTATGACTATGGTTACTCCTTAACTAAAATAAAAATTCCTTGTGAGGCTAACGTTATGGTCAATTGAAGTGGTACCACAAGTCCAGCTTTTGTTGCCGTATAATATACTGTACAGGGTGTTGTACTGTTCTAGTTATAGTTTACACCCCACCTACTGGCATAGTTCGAAAAGCTATGAAAAAAAGCAAATACAAAAAAAAGTTTAATGTTTTCCTGATTCACCAGAAAGTTTTCTCAGCAATGCAAGAATGATCTTGCAAATGTCAGGTCAGTTTTATCAAACGGAACACCCGGAAGTATTACCATATATTTTGGAAGAGTTTTTTCCTGATTTTCAAAACATTGAGTTTCTATATTTTATGTACAGGGTGATTCATCAAGAATGGCACTCGACCATATCTCAGAAACTACTTGACGAATAGAAATTATCCTATAATTGTGGCCAAGAGAAAATGCTGGAAGTATATTTCAGCTTTCTAAAATTACCGCAAGAGAGCATAACCTAACTGTCAAACTACTGAAATGGTTTTATTTTTGAAATTCCAAATGGAAACGTGTCTTGAAAATGGTAGCAATGGAATTTTGATGAAATTTCACACAATTTGGGTTTATGACTTTTTACCATAACTTATCGGATAAGATAGTTATGAGCTGTCAAATATTGCAACTCAAGAAAGCCGATAACCTCAAAACGACTCAACAAATTTGATCGATCTCAGGTTCGTTGGAAAGACAAAAGTCTGCTCTTTCATCTTGTTGTAAAAAATTCAGATTCTGGTAAGTGGGACTGACTTTATGAGTGGATATTTAAAAACAATTAAATTTTTCTAATTATTCGTGAAATTTTCAAATGGAACGATATATTTTAAATATAGTCAATCGATTTCTGAGGATGTTTCACTCAGTTTGTCGTCTTTATTACCTTCCTATAAACCAATTCCAGAAAGTGTTAAAATTAATTATATTAAAAATAGTCAGTATTTATGAAAAAGCCCTCGTAGATAATGTTTTCGTTTTTCTGACAGTTGTCAAATAATGAAAAAAGTGCGTTCGAAAATAATAAATGTTATTTTGGGTTCAAATTCAAATTCAAATTCAAATTCAAATACATTACTAAATTTGAGTTACATAATATATAAGTTTAACATCTAATTCAAATAACAAAAGTTTTAATCTAAGATACAAATGTTCATTCTGACACCTAGCTGAAAAAAACAGGTGTATGTGTCAGGTACCTACACATTGGCATTTTGTGTTAATATATATACATATGTAAATATTAAATAATTGCACTTAAGAACCTACAATCTAATATTACAAAAAAAGAAGGGGGAAAGCTTAAATACAAAAACACCTCACCCAACACTCACACAACCAAGACACTCATTAACAATTAACAATTCAATACAATGATAAACCTGAAATCTAATGCAATCAGGAGCCATACTCTAACAAAATAAAACCTCGAAGTAACCCCACAAATATGTTATAATTTTTATAAATAAAAGTTCTAACCTTTTTATTGAGTTGTTTTTGATTTTTTATGTCTCTAATATTTATTGGCAACAAGTTATAAAATACTACCCAGAGCTGGGCAGTATTTGCAATTCTAAATACTTTTTAGTATTTAAATACTTTAAAGTATTTAAATACCTAGTATTTAAATACTTTTCTAGAACTGGTATTTGTATTTATGAATCCAAATACTTTTTGAAATATTTGGTATTTAAATACTTTGAAGTATTTTAAATACTTTCAAAAGTAGTTAAATACTTTCAAGTATTTAACTACTATCAAAATTATTTAAATACTTTCGGAAGTATTTAAATAATCTTTCTTCTGCAAAAAATATACAGATGAACAAGATTTAACTCAAATTATCAGTTCCTAGACTAGACACATGCGCGATTTTGCGAAATTTCGCGGTGATCTGTCATTTTTGCGATGTATTATTTTTCCTTCAATACACATGAAGCGAATAATCGCAAACACTGTTTTTACTCTATAATAGCGCAGAAACAACTATTGAGGGATCCATCGACACTATACTCATACTATACTTATACTATTATTACTTACTTATCAGTTATCACTTTACCAAAAACAAAACGAACAAAACAATAAACAATCATAACATAACCCTTATTTCATCATTTTGTGGCGACTTGCGATAGAATATTCAAAGTTGAGTTTAGTCGCTGCGATTATTTTTGACAGTTCAAAATGATGGATCACCGCGAAATTTCGCAAAATCGCGCCTGTCTGAAAGCACCTTTAGGCTTAATCTGTGCTTACTACTGTTTGTTCTTTTTATACTCTTCTTTTGATCAGTTGATTTGTTTCTTAGAACTGTTATTTTATTTATTTTTCAAGAAGATAATGTTTATTTTTGTTGTATTTATATTAATCAAATAAATAATTTTTTGTTCGATTTGATTATTTTCAATATTTGCCGACTCTGTTTTCACGTCGGTCGGTTGTATTTATTGTTTGGCAAGGAATGGTAAGTAAGCAAGTAAGTTAATTACTTATTAGAACGGGTAAAATTAGCCATGTTCGAAATTCGGAAATTTTTGATGTATTTGCCACTGCCAGTTTTCCACTTTTGTCAGAGCATTTCAGCTATCAGAATTTATAGAACATTTCGTTACTAGTGCGAATAGCGACTAGTCTATTCGCACGAGTGATGACCGATATTTTTCATAACGAAGTCTTGATTTGATTCGATTTGGACAGTGCAAAAAACGGCCTCCAGTAGTCAAATCATTCGTACTTTATCCGTATAATAACACTGTTGTGACATAGTTCTTGGTTCAATGTTTCTAGGTTGATTACTGATTAGTAGGAATTTATTGTTTTCGCTAGACCTTGGCAATTACCTTGTGTTTAATGGTGGGAATGAATCTATGCCCTTCAACACTTCGTTATGAAAAATATCGTTCGTCACTCGTGCGAGTGAACGCCTTTCTTTTTTAAACTCGCCTCCGCCGATGGCTCCTTCTGCTACGAACTACGACTCGTTCCAAAATCATTGCCCTCATTTGAAAAAGGCCATCTGCCCGTCTATTCGCACTAGTGACGAAATGTACTATGTATTTGAAGTTTTTGAAAAAAAAGAAGGGGGAAAGCTTAAATACAAAAACACCTCACCCAACACTCACACAACCAAGACACTCATTAACAATTAACAATTCAATACAATGATAAACCTGAAATCTAATGCAATCAGGAGCCATACTCTAACAAAATAAAACCTCGAAGTAACCCCACAAATATGTTATAATTTTTATAAATAAAAGTTCTAACCTTTTTATTGAGTTGTTTTTGATTTTTTATGTCTCTAATATTTATTGGCAACAAGTTATAAAATACTACCTTGCATTTTTTGGGAGTTACACCTCAATTGAAATTGTTACCAGAAGTTTCTTGAACTTGTTGCAGATTTGAACTTACACCTTAATTGAAATTGAATTGAAACCTCAGCCAAAAAGTCCAGAAGTTATCCGAGCCTAATCAAATATTATTTTATTAAAACAAAATAGAACTCCAAGTAGATTATTTTATTTTACAAAAATAATTTGATAGGTAAAATATAGTCTCTAATCAGAGAGCTTGTAGTAATTTGTTTCAAGATCAAGAAGCTTCTGGTGAATATTTCAATAAACCTATCTCGCATGAATTGAAAAAGAGAGCTTAATTGTAATAAATATACAAGTTAGAAAGTAATGAAAGCTGACATGCGCGCGCAACTCGTGGCTGCAGTGTAGCCAGATTGTATTGTTGCAGAACAAATGTAGACAATACAAACCAAACATTATAAGATTAAAGAAGTGATATAGTGTCAAGACTGTCAAGTGTTTTACAACGCCTTAAATCAGACAAAAGAAGAACTTAAAAGTATATGTTAACATCGTTTGCACTTTTATTTTCATAAATGTTTCATCCGACAACATCGCACAATGAAATTGCAAAGGAATATGTCAAGTATAATCCAAAATAACCTTAAACGACACTGCGATGAGTTCAAGTAATACGTAAAGTATTACTTTCTCTTTGTCCAATTACACGTTACCAAGAAAGAAGGAACGGTTAATTCTGAACTGGCCCCTGAATAAGAATATGACGCAAGCCTGTAACAAACTCACTTCTCATTGGACGCTCACCTGCAACCCACGGGTTGCGCGCGCAGTCAAGGTAAAAAAAGATAGGTCAAAAAAACATTTATTATTTTCGAACGCACTTTTTTCATTATTTGACATTCATCAATGATGATAATAATCAACTGTCAGAAAAACGAAATCATTATCTATGAGGGCTTTTTCATAGATACTGACTATTTTTGGTAAAATTAAGTTTAACACTTCTGGAATGGGTTTATAGGAAGTTAATAAAGACGACAAACTGTGTAAATCATCCTCAGAAATCGATTGAATATATCTTAAATATACCGTTCCATTTGAAAATTTCAAAAATAGTTAGAAACATTCAATTGTTTTCAAATACCCACCTATAAAGTCAGTGCTACTAACCAGATTCTGAATTTTTTACAACAAAATTAAAGAGCTGACTTTTGTCTTTCCAACGAACCTAAGATCGACCAAATTTGTTGAGTCGTTTTGAAGTTATCCGCTTTCTTGAGTTGCAATATTTGACAGCACATAACTATCTTATCCGATAAGTTATGGTAAAAAGTCATGAACCGAAATTGTGTGAAATTTCATCAAAAATCCATTGCAACCATTTTCAAGATACGTTTCTGTAATGTGTTAGGATTAAGTATAAATATATATGGCAACCTTGCAAGGTTTAGTACCACAGAAGGTGTAGTACTTGTTTGGAAAAGAACCGGGTGGAATTCAATAAAAACTCGAAGAGTATTTTGCGCGTTTGATTTCCTCCCTATAAGGTACATTACATTGGCGACAAGGACTTTAAATAA